GCCCCGTGGCCGGGCGAGGCCCCTCCGCACCCCCGTACGGCAGCCCCGCCCGCCGCCGCCAGGGGCAGGCCCCGGCCCCCCTTTACCGTATTGCCTCGAAGCAGCGGGGCGGGCGATGCCCCGTGACTCCCCCTGCGCGGCAGCGCGGCCCTCACCGATTCAAACAGCTGCGCCGCCCCCCATTCCCCCCTCCCTATTGGCTGCAGGCCGCGTGTACGTCCTCTGACGCATATTACGTGAAGGGAACTACAGCTCCCAGGAGCCCTAGCGTGGGGCCGGAGTAGATCTCGCGAGAGGTGAGGAACTCTCGCCGCGTGCCCCTCTGGGAAATGTAGTTCCCAATTAGCCCCCCCGTAACTACACTTCCCAGCATGCCTTGCGGCGTCCGGGCTGGGTGGGGCTTTTGGTGTGGTTCTGGTTACCATAGCTACCCCGAGAGTTCCATATAGTGAGGGGAGAGAGACAGAGAGAGAGAGGAGCAGAGATGGTGAGTGTGAAAAATCTTTGCAGTGAGTGTGAAAAGAAGGGCCAGGGGCTAGTGGGCATGAAAATCTGTTCAGGACACTGGTGAGTGTGAAAAAAGATGCCTGGGGAAGGTGGGTGTGAAAATCTGTGCAAGATGCTATTGAGTGTGAAAAGAGGGGCCAGGGCCTAGTGAGTATGAAAATCTGTGCAGGGCACTGGTGAGTGTAAAATCCATGTAATTGCTTGACGAGTGTGAAAAGCTATGCAAGAGCACAGCGTACACGAAAAGCCGGGCAGTGAGCGTGGTAATTGTGCAAGGGCAGGCCGAGTGTGAAAATACGGTGCTGTAAATGTAAACCTATGATGTGACAGAGTGCGGAGCTCTGAACTGAGTGTGTAGCTCTGTGAATTGGGTGTGTAGAGCTGGGCAGGTAGCAGCCAGGGGGCGCAGCTGCAGGGGGTGCCCAGTTCCCAGGGCCTCACTTTCGGTGAAGCAGCGCTTACAGCGAGGGTGCCATTCCTGGGATGGCTCAGTGGAAACTGAGGCAGCTCCCCCTGCTCCCAAGAAAGACAGGTTCTAGTTACCTATCCAGGTTCTTATATGGCCCTCATCACCCTGGTATCTGGGTGCCTTAAAGTGCTTGTAACCTGCAAGTTGACTGTGTACAAATGGCCCCCGGCAAAGGGCAGAATTGGCATCCGTGTCCCAATTGCCAAACCGCATTCTGCCGTCGCTGAGTCCCGTTCAGCCCCACACTCTGGGGCGCTGTCCTTTGTACTGTAGTTGCTGTTTTCACAGCCTTGAGAAGGGTGTGAGCACCCCTGGAACGGAGCCGTTTGCTCACACAGAGAGATCTGTATTAAAGAGATCTGGCTCCAGCTTCGGGGACCAACTCACTCTGTCTTTCAGAAGGAGCCTCACTGCACGCAGGACGTTACCAGTCCAGTGGTGCTGTTTGTGGAGTAGACGTTTTCAAAGCGTCCCCTTTAACACCATCACCTCTTGTGCTGTATGCCAGGTGACTGCATTTCAAAGGCAGAGTGATCGCCTCATAGGAAAATGGAGGGGCCACGGGCCCTTGTTAAATGCAGGGGAGTTGCAGTCAGGAGACCACCTGGCTTGCCCTCTGGCTCACTGTGTGACTTTGGGCAAATATCTAACCCCCTATGTGCCTCAGTTTCCCCACCTGTAAAATGGAGGCAACCACACTGACTTCCTAATATGACACTTGGGAAGCTCAATGAATGAATGTTTAAACAGCTTTGGCCCTTTGGATGTGTTGTTAGCTTGTCAAGTGCTTAGGGACTGAAAAGCACTATTTGAAAATCAGCTCTTAGAAGATAAAACAACATCTGTGAAATCAGCGTGTCAGGGCAGAGGCAGCCGTGCATTTCCACCGGCGTGAAGGAAAGTATGCAACAGCCGAGGGCGGTGGAGAATAGTAACACTCCCAGCTTTCCAGACATTAGCTAATTAACTCTGCTGGGAGGTGAGCATGGTTCCCCTTACGCAGATTCATAGATCATCCGGTCTGAGCTTCTAGATAGCACAGGCCAGAGAATTTCACCCAGCCGCTGTGTTGGGGATGATAACCTGTGTTTGGCTAAAGCATCTTCCATAAGGCCTCCTGCCTGGATCGAAGAGATAGGAGAATCCACCATTTATTTCCCTGGCAAGTTTGTTCCAATAGCTAATCACCCTCCGTAAACATTGTGTTTAGTGCAGGGGCGGGCAAACTTTTTGGCCTGAGGGCAGCATCGGGTTTCAGAAATTGTATGGAGGGCCGGTTAGGGGAGGCTATGACTCCCCAAATAGCCAGGCATGGCCTGGCCCCCGCCCCCTACCCCACTCCCTGCTTCTCGCCCTCTGACGCTCCCCCCCTCGGGACTCCTGCCCCATCCAACCCCCCCTGTTCCCTGATGCCTCCCCCAGGACCCCTGCCCCATCCACCCTCCCCGCTCCCTGTCCCCTGACCACCTCTGGAACCCCCATCCCTGATTGTCCCCCGCCGCCCCATCCAACCCCTCCTCTCATTCCTGATTGCCCCCATGGGACCCCTGCCCCATCCAACCACCCCTTCCTCCCTGACTGCCCCTGGAACCCCTGCCCCTGACTGCCCCCCACCGCCCCATCCAACCACCCCTTCCTCCCGGAGTGCCCACAGAACCTCTGCCCCTGACTGCCCCCCGCCGCCCCATCCAACCCCTCCTCTCATTCTTGACTGCCCCCCCGGGATCCCTGCCCCCATTCAACCCCCCTCCCCCCCCCGTTCCCTGCCCCCTTACCGTGCTGCCTGGAGCACTGGTGGCTGGCAGCGCTAGAGCCGCGCCGCCTGGCCAGAGCCCGCCATGCCTCCACGCAGCACAAAGCACTGGGTCAGACCGGGCTCTGCAGGTGCGCTGCCCCAGGAGCTCACAGCCCCACCGCCCAGAGCATTGCGCCGGCGGCAGAGCGAGCTGCTGCGCGGGAGGCGGAACAGCGGGGGAGGGGCCGGGGGCTAGCCTCCCGGGCCAGGAGCTCAAGGGCTGGGCAGGAGGGTCCCACGGGCCAGATGTGGCCCATGGGCCGTAGTTTGCCTGCCTCCGGTTTAGTGCCTTATTTCTCATTTCAATTTGTCTGGCTTGAACTTCCAGCCGTTGGCTCTGGTTCTGCCTTTCTTCACTAGACTAAAGAGCCCGTGATCTGGCGTAGTCTCCCTGGGAAGGTAGTTACCCGTGGTAATCACGTCACCTCTCAACCGTCTATTGGAGAAGCTAAACAGACGGAGCTCTTTAAGTCTCTCACTCACAGGCATTGTTTGCCAGCCCTTGAATCATTTTGGGGGGGCTCCGTTTTGCACCCTCTTCAAGTTGTAAACAACCTTTTACAGATGTGGACAGCTGAACTGGAGGCAGTATCCGGTGTCCGGCGATCAGTATCCAGTCTCACCAATGCTGGATACAGAGGGGAAATCGCCTCTCTAACCCTGCTCACTGCTCCCCTCTTTGTACAACCAAGGGCCACGCTAGCCCTTGTGTCACACGGGGGACTCATATTGTTCATGCACTGTGACCCCCAGCTCCTTTTCAGGGTCACTGCTTTCCAAGATAGTCCCCCATTCTGTAGGTGTGGTCTGCATTCTCTGGTCCCGTACAGGGAAACTGAGGCACGGTGGGATTAGGGAATTTGCACAAGGAGAGAGTAGCAGAACTGGGAACAAAACTGCATTGTTCAATCCCCTTCTGGGCTGAGCTCATTAGCTCCGAGGGGCAGGCCTGAACTTCCTGGGCCGGGAACCAGCTAGCTGCGTCCATCCCTAGTGAATTCAGAGACCTGCGCTCCACAAAATTAAACGTGAAGTTAAATGTTGCCAACTTCAGCTCCCCTGCCCTTTTGATTGGATGCGGTATTCTTGTTCCTACCCTAACCCGTCATGTGCCTCGTGCTGTTAAACAGCTGCCAGTTCCACCCCAGAGGTGGCTGCACTCCAGAGGCACGGATGTGGAAGCCGCTGGGGTCGTCTCGGTTGAATGGCGCCATCTGATGGTGTTGTGACATCGTTAGCTTGCGGTGCTGCAGGTGCAGCCCGGTTCATACTAGTCTGGTTGCTTAAGGGGGGAATGCCATGATGCTGTGGGGGGGTTGAAGACGAAAATGTCCTTTGATTTGTGCTCCACCTCAGCAGCACAAAATATCGTTGGGAGCCAGCTAGTGTGTCTGTGCACCACTGCCCTCTCCTGGATGGAATTAGGACTACACAGCCGTATGTCATGAGCCCCGTACTGCTCGTTACTAAAGAAGAGGCTCTGCTAGTGGAGGTGGAAGGGCCCTGGACTTTGGACCCAAAAGGAGCTGTGTTCTAGTCCTGCTGTGAGGTGTGGCCTGGCTGTGGCTGTGACGCCTTAAGGGCTGTTCCGGTTTCTTTATTAAAATCCCTCTCCTGCGGTTTTTCCTAGCGTGGCCTGAAAGATGAGCGTGCGATGGGATTGCTGTAAGATCTCACTGCAGGCACCTCCTCTGGACTATTCCTTCCGAGGCATCAGCTTCATCCAAGGTGCGGCTCTTACTCTGCAAAGCAAACTAGCACAGACTTGTTTTGGGGGCGGGGGGGGGGGGGGGGGGGGGGGGGGGGCGCTAGGGCTCTGTCCCCACCACAGCTGTCGCTCATTGGCTCCTTAGCTGTCCTGCCCTGCAGAAAGGCCGTTTCATGCAAGGACCAGTCTCCCACTGGGGAAACTCAGGCCTGGAGCTCCAGTGCCTTGCTCAGGCTCACGAGAGGAGTCAGTGGCAGAGGTGAGAGGAGAACCCAGGCGTCCTGCCTCCCACCAGCAGCGCACACCCGCCCTTCCAGAGCCGGAAATAGAACCGGGAGTCCTGCCTCCCGCTTCCTCCTCTAACCCTTCCACGCTGCTTCCCGAGCAGCAGCACAAGGCACTGGGAGTGACCGGGAAAGGACGGAGAGCAAAGTGGGAAATAAGCCAACTGCATGTTTCAATGCTGCCGCCACCTCTGTCGTGTGATGGGATTCAGCCAGAGCAAGCAAAGCGCACGGCTGTGCGAAGGGCCTCTGTCCCCAGTGTCGGGGTCCCCCTGCAAAGGGCGTGTCTCTGGGCCAGCCTGGGCTGCTTTGAGTTATGCATGATGAAGGTGCCCTTCGCTGGCAGCTGGTTTAGTCTTAGTCCGCTGGCTCCCTGCTGTCCCACCGCCGCAGGCTTCACAGACCCGGCCAGGGAAGAGGGTCAGATCCCGGGAGCTCTCTCGCAGAGCAGTCCTGTTACCGATGCGGTTTGCCCGGCCGCACAGGTCTCCTAGCCCGCTGGCCGCCCTACTGCTGCGTTCTCATCAACGGCAGGGACAACGTCAAGCGATGTTGTACTCAGGGGTGCAATGGGGCAGTGCAGGGGGGGGACAGGGGGACAGCCCTCCCCCTTGGCCAGATCTGGGTGGCGTCATAGCGGTGCCCCTTCCCTGCTGCCATGACAGAGGGCCGGCCGGGCCAGCCTGGAGTGGTGTGGTGACCCTGTACACCAGGTTGCACCGCTAAATTTGGGGTGACCAGGCAGGTAACCTGCGCCCCTCCTTAGCAAAATGCTGGTAATGCCCCCAGCCAGACTCCGGGCCCTGCTGTCCGAGGTGTTGCACGGACACATAGCCCCTGCCCTGAAGAGCCCAGACGCAAGTGGAAGGAAGGGCGTACCATGACCTGTGCCCCGTGGCCCAGAGAGAGGGAGTGAGTTGCCCGGGGTCACCCAGGAACGTGTGGCAGAGCCAGAAGTGGAAGCTGGGTCTGCCTCACCTCGGCCCATTGCCTTAGCCTCAGGACCAGCATTTCCACCAGCTTCGGAGCAACGAGCAACATGGGTCCCTAAAACCCGCCGCAGACGAGCCTGGAGCCTGTTGCTGTAGAGAACCAGGCTGTGCCGGCACTGGCGATGAGCGCGGGGAACCAGCGGCGCCCTCCCTCTCTGATCCTGCAGCTGCGGGGTGGGTTAACTAGAGTGCAGGGACGTGCCCAGATACCAAGGTGATGGGAGCCGTATCAGAACCAAGGTAGACCGGGTCTGTGGCTGCCCAGCCGGTCACTGCTGCCGCCGACCGAAGCCGCAGCAGGTCGCGCCCTTTCCCTAGGCTGCTCTAACCCCCCACCTACTCTCCCCACTAGACCTGCTGACAGAGGAGCCCCGGGCTGGCCTCAAGGTGATCAAGCGCTCGGCCGGGGGGAAGCTGCTGACCCAGGCGGTGCGCCTGAATAACAACACCATCAATGAGCTGACCGACTTCGCCTCCACCATGGAGCAGCTGCTGGAGTACCCCGACGAGCTCTCCTGGGTCGACCTCTCCTTCAACGACTTGTCTACCATCGACCCGGTACGGCTGAGCGGGAGCACTGTGGGCTGGTGGCCTAGGGGGTTAGCCCTCAACGGGGCAGGCTCCTAACCCTGCTTCTGACACCGACTCCCCCTGAGGTCTCGGGCAAATTCCTGCCCCTCTATGTGCCTCAGTTTCCCCACCTGTAAAATAGTGGTGATACCCCTCCACCCCCTTTGAGCTGTGCGGTTGAAGCAGCGCCACAGCCACGTGAGTACAGCCGGATTACACACTGCAGCTGCTCACCTGTACATGGGATGTAAGAGCCAACACTGCCCAGGGCTAGCAGTGAGTGGAGGGGTTTGGGAGACTCCATTTCCAAAGTGCTCCCAGGTGGCGCCATGGCGGTGTTACTGCTCTGCAGCCCTGACTCACCAGACTTTGATTACAGCCCAAGTGCTGCTCACCGCCAGGTCCGTTCTGCCCCCTGCCCCGGTGGCAGAGGGGAACAACGGGCAGAGCAGGCTTGCTGTGGGGAGCGGGGCTGATGCCCTGGCCACCTTTAGGGAACTCAGGCGATTCAGGGGATCCCCGCCAGTCAGAGCTGCGGGGAGCTCGGAGGGACTCAGTGTTGGCCTAACTCTGCTGCCATTGTAAAAGCCCCCCGGAGTTCAAGGGGGGCTGACAGGCCAATGGTGAGCTCTTTCGGAAATCACAGCCCTATTGTGTGTCCCCTAAGCTCTGGGTAAAATCAGGCTGCTTTTCCCAGCTGGGTCCCAGTGTGGCCTTGGGTGAGTCCCAGCTCTTCCCTGGGCCTCAGTTTCCCACTCCGCAGAGCTGGGATAGTGGTCCCGCCCCACTGATAGAATCCTAGGTGCCGACTTCCCCTCTTTCCTGTGGGTGCTTGACCCGCCCCCGCCCCCGTTCCAACCCCTTCCCCAAAGTCCCCACCCCAACTCTGCCCCCATTCCAACTCCTTCCACAAATCCCGCCCCAGCCTCGCCTCCTCCCTTGACCATGCCACGTTCCCGCTCCTCCTCCTCCCTCCTGGAGCATGCTAACACTGCAAACAGCTGTTTGGCTGCGGCCGGGCGGAAAGTGCTGGGAGGTAGGCGGAGGAGTGGGGACGTGGCGAACTCAGGGGAGGAGGAGGTGTGGCGGTGGGTGAGGGGAGCTTGGCTGCCTGTGGATGCTCCGCACCCACTAATTTTTCCCTGTGGGTGCTCCCGCCCCGGAGCACCGATGGAGTCGGCGCTTATGTATAGAATCACAGGACTGCAGAGGTCATCTAGTCCAGTCCCCTGCACTCAAGGCAGGACTAAGTATTATTTACATCATCCCTGACAGGTGTTTGTCTAACCTGCTCTTAAAAATCCCCAATGATGGAGATTCCACAACCTCCCTAGGCAGTTTATTCCAGTGCTTAACCACCCTGACAGTTAGGAAGTTTTTCCTAATGTCCAACCTAAACCTCCCTTGCTGCAATTTAAGCCCATTGCTTCTTGTCCTATCCTCAGAGGTTAAGGAGAACATTTTCTCTCCCTCCTCTTTGTAACAACCTTTTATGTACTTGAAAACTATTATCCTGTCCCCGCTCAGTCTTCTCTTCTCCAGACTAAACAAACCCAATTTTTTCAATCTTCCCTCCTAGGTCATGTTTTCTAGATCTTTAGTCACTTTTGTTGCTCTTCTCTGGACTTTTTCAAATTTGTCCACATCTTTCCTGAAATGTGGCACCCAGAATTGGACACAATACTCCAGTTGAGTCCTAACCAATGTGGAATAGAGCGGAAGAATTACTTCTCGTGTCTTGCTTACCACACTCCTGCTGATACATCCCAGAATGATGTTTGCTTTTTTTGCAACAGCATTACACTGTTGACTCATATTTAGCTTGTGATCCACTATGACCCCCAGATCCCTTTATGCCTTACTCCTTCCTAGGCAGTCATTTCCCATGTTGTGTGTGTGCAACCGATTGTTCCTTCCTAAGGGGAGTACTTTGCATTTATCTGTATTGAATTTCATCCTATTTACTTCAGACCATTGCTCCAGTTTGTCCAGATCATTTTGAATTTTAATCCTACCCTCCAAAGCACTTGCAACTCCTCCCAGCTTGGTATCGTCCACAAACTTTATAAGTGTTCTCTCTAGGCCATTATCTAAATCATTGATGAAGATATTGAACAGAACCGGGCCCAGAACCGATCCCTGCAGGACCCCGCTCATTATGTCCTTCCAGCATGACTGAGAACCACAGATAACTACTCTCTGGGAATGGTTTTTCAACCAGTTATGCCCCCATCTTACAGTAGCTCCAGCGAGGTTGCATTTCCCTAGTTTGTTGGTGGGAAGGTCCCTGCTCCATGCTCATGAAGCCCTGTGGACTCCTGGGGTGATAGAGGCTGAGGAAAGGCAAAGCCTGGGTGGGGCTGCTTTTGACGGGAGGTGGGGGTCTTATGGCCCAGCTTACACCCTGGGGGAGGCTTGCTTTGTGTCCAGGCTCTCCACTCCCTCCCTCACTGGGGCTGGGGGGTCTGTGGCTGCAGGTGCTGACTATGTACCCCGACCTCCGGGCCCTCAACCTGCACGGGAACAGCATCCAGAGCCTCGGCGAGGTGGACAAGCTGGCCGTCCTGCCGCGCCTGCGCACGCTGACCCTGCACGGAAACCCCATCGAGGAGGAGAAAGGCTACAGGTGGGGCAGAGGGGCTCAGCCAGCTCGTGCTTCGGGGAGAGGGAAGGACGGTGGGCGCAGAGAAGAGCCCAGCCCTGGGGAACAGCTCTCTGCCCTCTGCTGCCAGGGTGCCCAGAGAGACGCGCTCAGGGCCCCATCCACCTCCACTGGAGTCAATAGACTCCCGCTGCGCCCTGCCCAAGACCCCACACCCCCCCTCTGGGATACACAAACCAGACCATGCCAAGGGAAAACTTTTAAAAGGCTAGGCCCGGCTCCTGTCAACCCTACTCACGAGCCAGCCTGCCCCATGCATGTGCGTCTACAGATCCTCTCCTCAGTGCCAGAGGACAGCCAGGGCCAGAGACCCTCATCAGGCTTAGGGTCCCATCGTGCTGGGCACCGCACGTTCACATAGTGAAAGTCCATCCCCAGGCCTCACCCAAGGTCACCAGCAGGGCAGGGCAGCGGCAGAGAACCCAGATCCCCTGAGTCCCTGCCCGGTCTCCTCGCTCACGCTGGAGTTGTGTAGGCCCCAAGCAGTGGTTCTGGACTGGTCCTCGGAGAATCACTTGCCGTCGCTCCGAGACGCGTGACGGAGCAGGCCGGCCAATCGGATTTGAAATTCAATGATGCCTCCACTATCCGGGCTCGACCAGCTGTTCGTTAACCCTGCTCCCTTTCGGGAGACGTGCGACCCCACTCAGGCAGCAGGGTCCGAGAGCACGGAGCAGCGGCAGCAGGTAACGGAGGTGCTGACGAGCTGTATTTGTTCTTCAGGTCTAGTCCCTTGCAGCGTAGGTGCCAAGATCCACCTAGCCAGGGAGGAGCCCATGGGCAGCGCATCGCTGGTCTTGCCCTTGATTTTATACAATCTGCTCTGCTCCAGAGGCCCAGCTGCAGAGGGGCCCAGTGCCAACGTGATCCCAAAGGCACCCCGATCCGACACCCTGTGCTGTCTGGCCCTAGGAGAGAGGCTGCAAGGAGGCAGATCAGGGACTCGTGGGCAGCACTGATTGCAGCAGTTAGTTCTGGCCCCCTGGGGAGAGGAAGCAGTGCCTCCATCTACTACCGAGGGCTTCTCTAGGCCCAAGCTGGGGCGTACCGCGTGAGCTGGGGGGAGGGGAGGAGAAGCAGCCCCTGGCATTGCGGAGGGGAGGCCAGGGAGTAGCCCTGGCCTGATAGCCCCCCCCATTCTGGGCCTGACCGGCCGCTCTCCCACAGGAGCTACGTGTTGTCCGTGCTGCCCCAGCTGAAGTCCTTCGATTTCAGCGGCGTGACGAAGCAGGACCGCTCCACCGCCACCTTCTGGAGACGCATGAACGTCAAACCCAAGAAAGTCAAGAAAAGGCGGGACGACTACTGAGGGGACGGGCTGAAGCAGCATCTGCCCCGTTCAGCGGGGCCCAGCGCCCTGCGGGGGTGGGCGGCGTAAAGCCCGCGTGTTAGCGTAGGAATAAAGGCTTCGAGCTCTGTAGGGTAGGACGATGAATCGCTACGAGGGGCGGGGCTCAGTCAGCAGTGGAGACGGACGGGGAGGGCTGCCGTGGCAGTGGGCCGGGTACACACCTGCCATTGTTGGCACAGAGGGTCTCTGCTCGGCTCGCTCCACCCGCTCTCCTGAGGGGCTGGGAAATGCCCCTCCTCCTCTCCTGGGATCGGCAGGCAGCTGGTGGGGAAGAAATGGGGCCCTGGGCCTCCCAGGAGGTGGTTGTGCCCCCAGCAGCGGATGAGCTGGCCTTGCCCGCTGGGCTCCTTTAAGTTGTCCCAGCCCCCTTCCCGCCTAGCCAGCTCTTCTGAGCTGCCAGGGAGAGTCCATCTGTGGTCAGGAGGTGCCAGCGATCCCACGCCGGCTGCTTCCTTCGCGGCTGAGGATGGGGCAGCACCACTCCCGGAGGCTCTTGTGCCCCAGGCTTGCTCAGGGGGGTTCTCTATGGCTAGACTGTAAAGTGCAACCCTCCATCCCCAGCACATCAGACCCAAAGCCAGCCAGGGCACAGAACTGCCCCGACACAGCCCCCGGCTAGAGCCCAGGGGCAAAGAGAGGGGCCCCTCCCCGGGGAGGCAAACGGCTCAAAGTGGTACATACGACAGGACTGTCCGCCTTCCACGAACCTGCCTCCCCTGGCCCCGGCAGGCGGGCTCTGCCGTGTGAGCCCAGTCGCTTCTGCGGGCACTAACCTCATCACACGCTCAGCCCACCTCCAAACGCTCGGTCTCCTCCCTAGCAGGGGTGGGATGAGCCTGAAGGCCCCTGACTCCTTTGGGGGAAGAAAGCTGGTAAGTGACTGTCCCACACGACCATTTGATTGAACTCACGGGCTCCCATCAGTCACAGGACCTGCAGCTTCTGGGACAACTCAGCCCTGCCCCCTGGGCGTTAGTGCTTAATGCTCAGAGTCGTTGCCAGCTGAGCCAGCCAGGTGTCCCTTGTGCCCCAGGGTCCTGGGCCAGTCAAGTCATCCCCATGCAAGTCCCTGCCTGCCACTGTCATCACTTCCCAAGAGGCTTCGAGCACAACTGCTCCAGCCCCAACAGGAAATTGTCACCTCGCTCTTTGTCTTCCCAGAGGCAGAGTTTGCCCAGAGGCAAAGCATGTTTGAACAATCCCAGGCCGTGGGTGCGGCTGGGGTAGAGCAGCAATCGGATCCCTGACCATTAACTGACAGGGCATGCCCAGGGGGGGTGGGTTGGGGCGGGGGGCTAGCAATGGTTCCATGGTGTCAGACCTATTCCCCTCCCAGACACCTCTCCCCCACCTCCAGCTGTTCACCAGGGCCGCTTCGGTGACTAGAGAGGCTTCGGTGAGGCCCCAAGAGGGGTAAATACTACAGAGCTACAGATCAGGCCTAGGGTCTCCCTTCTCCAGTAAGTACAGTGTGGGGAGGGAGCCAGGGTTCCAGCTGTGGCTAGTTCTACCCTGGGTCTGGCATAGTTGAGAGCAACCTCAGGGCTGCTCTAAGTGACACCAGCTGCTAACTGTGCCCAAGGAGCCATTGGCCATGCAAGGGAGGGGTGTAGCACCTGCCTGGCTTCCCTCTGCCCGGGGGCAAAATGGCACAGCACCTGCTTCTCCACCCCTGAAGACTGTCCCACCTGCAGGGATATGCAGCCCAGCGGATGCGCCTTGCAGCAGACAACGTCTCCTCAGACTGAGGAAAAACGGTGCCAAAGGGGTGAAATTCAGTCTGGCAAAGCTGCACCTCCCCCTCCCAGCTCTCCTTTAGCACAAGGCCCTGCCCCCACATTCCCTGTGCTTGCCCATGGGCTGCAGCGCACTTCAGACCCAAGCAGCCGCCAGCCTTGCTAAAGCAGAAGACAACCCCTTTAGTGATGGTATGGGGGGTGTAGAGAGAGCATTGTGATCCTCTCCCAGGAGACGCTGATGTGTTAATGCTGCTGAGACAGCCACCCGAAGCCATGGCTGCATGGGACGCTCAGGCCAGCTCCACAAACCAGAGTGGCAGTGGGTGGTGATCGCCCTTGTGCGTGGTCTGCCCCATCCCTCGTCCGTAGGACCAGGAATGAACTCCACCAGCTAGGCCAGGAGCAGGTGGTAGAGACGCTCTGGGGTACTGTGGAAGAAGCTCCTGGGTTAATGGTCTGAGGGCGCCTTGCCCCGGTTTTGCTGGTGCACTATTAAACACGTCAACTCTCGCCCATGTGGAGTTTCAAATTTTTGAAAGTGGTCCAATTTCTTGACACGGTTCCATGATTTCCATAGGGGGGCACTGAGCATCTAGGCTGCCGCGCACAGCCCTGGCTAGAGAATTGCACCCCGTGGTCCTACAGCAAGGCCAGTAACGTGTGGCTGAGTGGAGCATCTCTTAGGGTATGTCTACACTACCCCCGGCTCGACGCTCGGGGGTCGATTTAGCGGGTCTAGTGAAGCCCCGCCAAATCGACCCCAGATCGCTCTCCAGTCGACCCCGAACGAGAAGAGTAAGGTAAGTCGACAGGAGAATGTCTCCCGTCGACCCAGCGTAGTGTGGACCCCGTGGTAAATCGATGTAAGCTATGTCAACTCCAGCTACGTTATTCACGTATCTGGAGTTGCGTAGCTAAGGTCAACTTACCGCGGTAGTGTAGACATAGCCTTAGAAAGCCAATAGCCATTTAAAGATTACGATGTGGAGAATCCGCAGCAGCCCAAGGGCGGCTGCTCCAATTGTCCCCTCTGTTAAAAATCAGCACCTTATCTCAGGGGTCCAAATTGTGAGCAGAGCAACTGAGTGAAAAACCAGTGGATTTTTTAATTCCAAGAATCTCACTGGACTGAAAAAAATTCAGACTACACGGCTTTTGGTGGGACTGCTCCAGCTGCCTTGAGGAGATGCGGCTTCATACCCTTGTTTTGCTGCAGTCACACAACGTCTAGATTACCCCAGAGGGGTATTACAGATAAATGCAGTTGTTCCATCGTTTCCACTGACGATCTGATCTGAAGCCAGTGCAGCTCGTCCACATCAACTCGACAATCTGAATGCATGTTAGATCGATTGTGCCCCACAGAACATGGGTTTGGAGTACAACGGCGGGTATGTCTCTGCTGCACTCAGAGCTGTGACTGCTGCCAGGGGCGCTGGAACAATTTGTGTAGTGGGGGTGCTGAGAGCCACTGAACCAAACTGTAAACGCTGTACATGATGGAAACCACTTCAAGCCAGGGGGTGTAGCAGCGCCCCTACTTCCAGCACCTAGGACTGCTGCCCGTATAGATGTACCTGAGTTAGCTTTGATCACGCTAGCTCAAACCATATGGGAGAAGTTGTGGCAGCGCAGACTGCATAAACCCACCTGAGATACTGGGTATGCTCCTGTTACTCAAACTAGATGGCTCAAAGTAGCCCAGTTATGTCTAGACTGCAATCAAAGGTTTGACTGCAGCACCTGTAGACATAGCTGGAGGCACTGGTGGAGGACCGCCTCTGGGCCTCACTTTTATAGCAGGAGCATTTCTGGTGGCGGGCAGAAGCCGCCAGGGTGGCATGTGAAGAAGCCAGCACGGGTTGTTTGGGAGCTGCTTTGAGGCAGCTTGACAAGCAGTTCCCCACAGCTGGGTAGGAAACAGAGTTCAGAGTCAGCAGTTGGCCAGGGACAGAGGAGAAGATTTGAAAATCCTTCCTGTGAGACTAGAACTGTGCTGAAACTAACATTGCCCACAGTTGCCTGCTTTGATGACCAGAAGGGGGGGGGAGGGACAATCACGCCCAGGACTGGGAGTCAGTGTGCTTGGACGAGTCCCTTAAACCCCAGTGCCTCAGTTTCCCCTTTATGAAGTGTTTAATACTGACCTACTGCATGCGAGGAGTTGAAAGCTGCTTGGATAGCCTTAGGTACGCTGTGCAATAGCAGGGCAAACTATTTCATTGATAGGCCCTAAGGGGAAAGCTGGCCTTGAATTCTGAACTCCAAGTACCCCCATCAGGTGGTCACTTTGCCTTCAGCGAGGGTGGGCGAGGGCAGCTGTGACAGGTTGCGGGCTTGGTTTAGGCAGAGTGAGGAGACCTGAAGGCAGCAGCGCAGAAGTAAGGGTGGCCTGGTATGGTATTACCACCCTCACTTCTGCACTGCTGCTGGGGGGGCGCTGCCTTCAGAGCCGGGCGCCTGGCCAACAGTCACCGCGCTCTGAAGGCAGTGCAGAAATAATGGTGGCAATACCACAATCCTCCCTAAAATAAACTTGTGACCACCCGAAACTCCCTTTTGGGTCAGGACCCCCAATTTGAGAAACGCTCGTCTCCCCCGTGAAATCTGTATAGTAGAGGGTAAAAGCACCCAAAAGACCGGATTTCACAGGGGTAGACCAGATTTCACGGTCCATGACATGTTTTTCATGGCTGTGAATTTGGTAGGGCCCCAAGTATGAATTATACCAGGGCAGTAGTGTATATAGGGGGGGAGCGGCCGCTCCCCCTGAGCGCATTCCCCAAAAGTGGCGCCTTTTTAACTCACTCACTCAAAAAAAAAACACGCCACCCGCTGTGGCACGGTCTTCAGCAGTGGGACCGTCACTCACTCCGCTTTTTAACTCACTCACAAAAAAAGGTGCCACCCGCTGCAGCGCTTTTACTGACGGGGCGGCGCTCTGGCTCTTCAGCGGCGGGCCCTTCGCTAGCTCCGGGTGTCTTCAGTGGCACTGAAGGACCCGCCACCGAAGCCCCGCGGAGCGAGTGAAGGTCCCGCCGCCGAAGTGCTGCCGAAGACCCGGTGAGTACAGGCGCCACGGCGGGTGGTACCTTTTTTTCTGATCACTCCACCTGACTACGCCACTGTACCTGGGGCATTTGTCACCGCCATTCGGCTGGAAGGCTTGGCGTTTATAAGAAGAGCTCATCGCAGAGAGGTCAGGGAACAAGTCAACAGTGCAAGGTGAGGGAGGGAGACCAAGTCGGACAGTCCCGGCAATGGAGATGGGTTGTTCGACGCGTCTAC